CACACACACACACACACACACACACACACACACACACACACACACACTAGAGTGAGCCCCGCCTGTTAGCTTCTGTGACAACAAGGAGCAAAAACAGTGACTGAACAGGGCGTCTGCTCACAGTCGTCACAGCAAATATTAGATTAACAGCAACTGGATCTGTGTCACTAATTATATGTAATATTTTTACAATTAATTAATATAATTGCTAATTATATTAATTTCATTGAACATGTAAAACAGCAGATATTTATCAGAAAATATATAATTTATAAGTAAATATGATTTAAATCAGACCTGAAGTCAGTCAGTAACTTCGATCTTTTAGCTAGTTGATAAATTATGACTTCAACTAGTATATTTATTATTTCTTACTGTCATAAATAATAATATTTACAAGTCAAGATTTAGAAAATGTTCTCTGTATACCTGTTTATAGGATGAAACTTGTCTCTACTAATATTAGCTAACCATCTTCAACAGATAAGGTTAGTCTAACAGAAACCTAAAAACAGTTAAATAAGTGGTTTAGACTCACTCTAGTTGTTACATGTACCTCTATGAGTCTGACCAAGGAGGTTCTATAGAACAACTGGAGTGCTCAGAAACCATGTGACCGTGTGATCGGCTGGAGAAGCTAAAGGCTAACGCTAAACGGTCAAGACTCTGGATTTCCCATCACTGTACATGTTGACAACAGAGCAGAAAAAAAGGACCGACCATGTAGAAATCATTAAAACTATTAATAATAATATTAACCCAATTATTGTTAATATTTTACAGTTTATATAATCTATCTAATGTTTTAAATAATGTCAGAAAAGCTGTTTGTGTTATGGATTTATTAACAGAAGATAAACAGGAAAACATTTCATTTTACAACACAAGTCAGCAGATTTGATCTTATTTAGCTCAATGTGATCTGAGCAGAACATAATGTAACAGTTTAAAATTAAAATAATCTGATAAAGTCGCTGTAATCACTGTTATTGAACTGGTTAGCAGATATTAGCTTGTGGAGCACATATACAGAGTGTAGCTCTGTTGAATCATGCTACAATTTAACAAACTATTAAAAATTAATTTGTCCTCTGATTAACATTTAGACCTAAAG